AACAATCGCATGTACCCGTGGCACTTTGTGCTCGGAGCTGTTGCAGGAGTGGGACCTCGGTCGCACTACCCGCTCCACCTGGTCGGGGTTGTCAGGTAAAGTCGTCGCAATTTGCAAAGCCGGCGCTCGTTTCTTTGCTAGTTGGACTATCTGCGGCATAGACGAGACGATGAACGACGATACGGCTTTGAAGCGGTGGAAGACATTGAGAGCTTAATGTTTGATCCCATGTCCCTAATAGCACAGCTGAAACAAAAGAAGACGACCATACCCAAGTTATTCGAAATGAAGTTGCGAATCATTTCACAAGCCATATACCATCCGACAATCGAAGACTCCGAGCTGTTGATCGACGCCCTCGATACTATACGTAACGAAGGGGTAATATCGCAGCGGCAAAGAGACCGACTCCTAATTTCCATTATTGCGTACGGCAAAGATGCCACAATTAAACGAATGGAGGCCGGTACTCTAGACAGACCGCTGAACATATACACGAAGAGTTTGAGAAAGAAACCAGGCGATAACAAGTCTCAGAAGAAACCTGAGCAGAAGGGCAACGGCGGCAACCAGCAACAGACGTACAAGGGCAAGAAGACATATCAAAACAAGAACAGACGCAACAGCTACAAACCGACAGAGACGACGAATAACTGGACAGAGACGACGAAATAGGACGTAGGCAAGAGTGGAGTATCGCAGGTCCACTCGGAGCCATCTGTCCAGAAGGTGCGCGATGTCGTGCGTTTAGAATATGACACGATCTCTACATCGGCGTCAGTGCAGTCAGTGAATTTAGGGGGCTCGGGAGAGAAATTCTCCCAGGTGCTACCAGCCTTCGATGAAGGGCTAGAAGGGAACCCTCCCATAAGATGGGTATCCCCGAAGATGATCCCAACCGACGCGAACATATACCGCGAATGGATCAACGAACGACTAGAAGATGGGTCGATTATACACATTCGAAGAGGCTATGTCAAAGCCTTACTCAACCCATACGTCGTGGGCAAAAGGGTAACGCACAATTGTCAAGTGCTATATCCGTATACGAATAAGGATGGCAAGTTTCCGAGCACACAAGCTATAGGGCCAGTAATAGCTTGGGCGATGGGGCAGAGGGTTATCGCAAAGATTGACCTCTCGAAGGCCTTTCACGCAGTACCCCTCGTTGAACACAAACGACCATACTATAGCTTCCTGGACCCGGAAGGAAATTGTTATTGCTACGCCCGGATGCCCATGGGTGCGAAGACAGCACCTAAGCATTTCGCAAACGTTATGAACCTAGTCCTCGGCCAATTGGCAACAGAAGACCAGGTCAACGTAAGATCATATCAAGACGATATCGTAATCGCGGCGAATTCACGAGAGGAGCTCGATATTCGCTATGAAAAGGTGTCTGAACACCTTCGACGATGCGGGTTTAAGATAAACAAAGACAAGTCTTCGAAGGCGGAATCCCTGGATGTTCTGGGATACCGTTTCGAGAAGAAGAAAGTCACGATACCACTAAAGAAAGAACGATCGATAAGGTCAGCTCTGTGGAGTAAAGACATGAAACAAGTAATCCGCGCGACGCACCAGCTGGGCTATTACAAGCTCATCTTAACTCCGGCACAGCGCGATTCGGCGGCGAAGCTAAGACAGATTCTCCTGAAGGTGGGTCATTTCACGCAAGTCGCGAGAGACCTACGCACGGCTCTCGACGTAAAGTGGGAATGCCCAAAAGAGATACCTTGGTCGGCCAAGCGAATCGAAATCTATGTAGACGCTTCGGATACGGCAGCCGGATTACATGTCAGATACAACGGTAACTGCGTGTTAGAGGAATCGCTCCCTCTAACACACACGACAACGAACTTGGCATCGTTCAAAGAGATTCAAGGAGCATATAAACTCCTAGTGAAGTATCGCGCGCATATCCGCCATATTGATGGGACATGCGAGAAAGTTATTCTCACGGATAATTTGAGGCTGTATCAGGCCTTAATCCGTGGTGAAGAACCGAGGAATGACTTAGAGATATATGCGGCAAGGATAAGGCAACTCTACCAAGCTAAATACGCTTATGTACCAGGGAGCCTTAACCCGGCCGATGATATCTCGAGGAGACGGCGTCTCCCGCCCTAAAAACATTTTTAATTATCTCAACATATAATTTTTCATTTGTTGAAAAGCTTGGTGGCACCCACATTGACTGTATAATTGAACTTGAACCTTCTTCGTCCCAATGGTACAAACTCGCGCCAACACCGATCCCGAACAAGTGTACGCGGAATTCTTCCGCAAATGCAAGGAGGAAAAGGTGTTAGACATGTCATTGTTCCAACTCATTCCTTTGAAGTTGTTAGAGACCCGCGCACAAGAGAAAAAGATTGCATTGGAAGACCTTATTGAGGTACGCGATAAGTACTTGGACGGCTGTCACCCAGATTGGGTAAAGAAGTTCAAAACACTTGTGAGCGAGCTGAACAAGAAGGCCATTCCGCAACTTGATTTAACTCCACTACTTACCACGCGAGAGTTTAGAGACGCGCAACGGGCTGGACCACCGACATTTTCAAAGCAAAACTCAACATCGACACCCTCCAAGTCGTACATACCGCCACCAATGCCGAGACCCACGAGGCAACCTGATCGCAGCCTAGAGGAAGTCATGAGGTCGGATCTGT